GCGGGCACGGGCCCCCCAGTATCCCACGGGGCCCAGGTCGGGAATGGTGACAGAGGCCACGGATACCCTCCCCGGGGACCGCTCCAACCCTCAAGGACCTCATCCTCCGGATTCACCGCATCGACACCCACCTTCCCCACCTGGAGTCAAGAGTAGGCCAGCGAAGCCCCGCTCCTCGACCTCGGGCCCAGAGTGAACCAGTTGCTGCCATCTGGGTAGACCCCGAGAGGGCAAGCAGGGCGGCCGACGGTTCCGGGGACCCAAGCTCTGCGGGGGCCGCTGCTGGCGCCGGGGCCCAAAGGGCGCGTGCACGTCGCCGGGCTCTCGGGCAAGGGCTGGGGGACAAGGAGAGCCAGGGGGTCAACACCGGGGTGCCCCTGGCCAAGAAGGAGGTGAGCATGCACAGCCTCTCCCTTCGCGGCCTCCTCCCAACCGCCCCCCCCCCCCCGCCCCGCCCTGTCCCCTTAATACACACACTAAGGGGCTTTCTGGGAGCTGACGTGTGCGAGGAGAAGGGGCAACAGACTGCCTTCATGCTCTCGGTCGGGGTGGTGGTGGTGGTGGACCTGTGCGGATGCTTGGGCACACGTGTGCGGGGGAAGGCACGACCCATGCCCGACCTTCCTTCCACGCGTGAGGCTACTGGGACAGCTGGGGTCTCCGCTAAGGTCTGCCCGTGTGCTCCAGTGCGGGAGCTTCCCTCGTGGCCATGGCAGACGGGTGCCTGACTGCGGGTCCGTCTGGGCACACGGGGTTCGGCCCGCTGTCCAGGGGACGAGACTCCGCTCCCTGGAGCCCCAGAAGCGGGAATGCTCCCCTCCGCCACGGCGGCCCAGACGTGGGAGCCGCCATGTTGGAGCCAGGGAGGGTGGACACAGGCCTGGCCTTTTCTTTTTGTTTTCTTTCTGGCGTGGCCTTTTTTCTTCGGCAAAGGGCGGAGGGAGAGGCCCGTGGGGGAAGGGCCGGTTGGCATCCGTGGTGCAATACTGCTATCAAGCGGAACTCCTCGGCGGTCCCCTGAGCCCCGCGCTGCGCCTGCCCCGAGTGGAGAGGCCCCGCAGTGACGTGGGAGTCCCAGGCGGGACTGGAGACGGGCCCTACCTCCGTGGCACCACCCCGCAACTGCCCCGAGGTGCAGAGCTCCCCCGGGGCTACCTGGGAGGGCTCCAGGGACGGGTAGCGGGACAGAGCGCGAGGTCCCGGTGCCCTGCGGGGCGGGCACGGGAAGCCAGGGCTCGGCACCCTGGCGGCCGCCATGTCTGGGCGGGACGAGAGGGGTGCAAGCCAGCCCGGAGCGGGAAGGAGCACCCAGCCGGGCCAGGGGCGCCAGTGAGGCCTTGGGCCCACGCGCGTTGGGTGGCCGCCGTGCCCCTTCCCCAAGGAGCCAGAGCAGGGTCGGTCTGGGAGGGCCCAGGGCCCTAATGTCCCTGCGTCCGGTTCTGAGGATCAGGTGTGGAGGCGAGCCACCCGGTGTCCAGGGACCTGGAGGGTGAGGTGGTCTCGGGAGGCGGCGGGGTAGGGGTGGGGAAGATAGTGGTGGCCGATAGCAGGAGGAGAGGAGTCCAGGAGGGACACGCCCACCCTGGGACGAGCCAAAGTGGAAGCACCAGCAGCCTCCTTAGCCGTTCTGCCCACCCCTTCCCCGCCACCGCGGCCACCAACCGCCCCCTCCCCCCCACACCAGGCCTGGGCCCACGAAGCCCTCGCCTGACACACACAGGGCAGCTGCACCGCCATCTGCAGGGGCTTCCCCGCCTCTGGCGTCTGGCGGAGGCCGGGCCCCAGTGCTCCCCCACGCAAGTCGAGGCCCAGCCGCCCCGCCCCGCCCCGCCGAGGCGTCTGAGTTTGCACAGTGCGCGTTCTGGGCCACACGTTCCCCAACAGGACACCAGGGCGGGCAGGGCAACGACAAGGAACGGCCGGCTGGCTGGCTCTTGCCTCTGCGTCCCGATGCCACGCTTGCTTCAGAGCTGGCCGTCAACGGACCAGTGTGCGGTGCGTGTCAGAAGGGCCAGGCACCTTGGGACTGCGGGCCCCTTCTCTCCCGCCTGGGGCTCCGACTTCACTCCCAGGCCCGCCTCGGCCGTGGGCTCACGGGATCCGCAGGGCAGTTCCGCTTGATGGCAGTATTGCTCCACGGACACCAACCGGCCCTTCCCCCAGGGCCTCTCCCTCCGCCCCTCGCCGAAGAAAAAAGGCCAAGTCCTGGCCACCTGGCCCCCAACATGGCGGCTCCCATGTCTTAGCCACTCTTGTGGGGGAGCATACTACTTCTCTGGTTTGTGGAGGTGTGTCTTTTTCCCCTTTGGCTCTCCTCAGCTTGCTTTTTTGTCCAAAACTCTAGGGGGATGCCAATCGAAGCTCAGGGGGACTCCTGGTAGTGGACATAAACCCATCCATGATTCCATCTTTAGCACGGCTGGTTTGCAGGGTCCCTCAGTCGGCATGGTGGTCATGGGCCTAGGGTCGTATCTTCTCATCATTTCTAGGTTTCCACTTGCTCATATTCTGATTAGGGTATCCTTAGGTAGGTAGGTTACTTTGAGATGCCTGCCTTCTCTGGCAGCCCCTGGCCGCCAGGCAGAAAGTTTTGTGGTAGTCAATGGGTATTGTCTATCCCTCAAAATAAAGGTATACTTCCTATTGCTAAAGGATTGAGGGTTTTTGAGTGTCTGTCTGTGTATTGCAGGGCTTCCCTGGGATTCAGTGTCAATGGTGGCCCACAGGAGTTGGTGTGGATAGTAGCTGTGTGCCACCTGTGAGATGGCAAGGCACCTCAGCGTGGATTTGGGTCAATCTCTGATTGTCTCATATTCCTATCGGGCATGGTAAACACCTGGTTGTGGTTAGGTATCAGGGATTTACCTAGTTTCTACCTTATTGTTTCTTTTAGCTCCTGGAGAAGCCCTTTGTTTCACTGTGGTCAACCGGGGAATAGGTTTGGAGACATGCCAGTGATATTAAGTGGCCTCTTAGTGCTTCAATAGCTCTTAGACAAAGAGGCAGGGGGAGATGCCACTTCTGAGGTACACTTTGTTTGAAAGACCTCTCTCCTAATGAGGTGAGATATGGACAGGAGGCAGAGGACTCGAAGAGAACTACATGTCCACCTCCAGGAGCACAGCACTTCACCATATGCTCCATGTTGAAAAGTAATGGCAATGACACTGTCTTCTGTTCTTTTTCCTTATTTTCTGAGTTTGCATTTATCTCTTTCTCTATCTAAAATTGTCATACTCTGGGTGTTGGTAACACTTTCAATTATAGTGAGTTGCACAAAGCAATACCTAAGGAACCCCCAGGACTGAGTGGAGGTCTTCCAGACCCACGCTCGAGGAGAGATGTGTGTCCCTTTCAGGGGCATTCTGTCTGTTTCCACGGCAGTCTGTGTGTGCACAGGCAGAGTCTATGCAATTCCACATGGCTTTATGCTCCATGGGACTCCTCGAATCTCAACTTTGTTTTAAAAGATGCTATTTATTTATTTGAGAGAGAGAGAGAATGAGCACACGCATGCAAGCAGGGAGGGGCAGGAAGAGGGAGAGAGAGAATCTTAAGCAGACTCCCCCCACTGAGCGCCTCAGATCATGACCCAAGCCAGTATCAAGAATTGGACGCCCAACCAACTGATCCACTCATCACACCCCCCACCCCGGAACCTCAACTCTTGAGACCCCTACTTTTGGTCACTTTTAACAGGAGTCACGCAGTGAATCACACCCAAGGTTCCCATTACCTCTTTCTCCCATATGGCAGTTATCAGGGAGCATAATCCTTCCCTGTCCCTTGGCTGTTGTATAGAAAGTCATACTGGGGAAGGCGTGGGGTGTCATGGCCCAATGCTCCTTTTGCAGGCTACAGGTGGCATCTTTCCTCCTGCCTAGAACCTAGAACAAGAACTTGACTTGAACACACAGCTGTGTCCAGGATATACTGTGAAAGGCTCATAGGACTGACCAACAAGTTCCTTTTGAAAGCAGGGCTGCCACAGAATTGGCACCATGCCCTTGCTGCTTGGACCCTGCCTCTGCCCTTTTCTAAGGCAGGAACCTTGACCAGACTAGTGTCCAACCGTACCTAAGCATGGTGGTGCTACAAGGTCCCTAGCCCACCTGCAGAAGCCTTCAATTATTTTGAGCTACAGTAGGAAGTATCATCCTCATGGCATTTGGATAAAGGCACTTGAGTAAGAAGAAAGAAAACATGTCTGGTTTCTGGTTATACCTTCACGCAACATTTTCACTTGGAGGAATGGAAGTACACCTCCTGAAGACTTCATGCTTTCAAGTTCCTTGGTTTGTCAAGAAAGAAAATTAGAGCTCACAGAGAGATCTATATTTGGCTGCCCTAATATGCTCCCCCAAACCCCATACCCACTAGCACATGTACTCTCTTAATATTCTAGCAAGCATTTGTTCCCAAGTTTTCCCTGACCCGGCAGGAGGCCATGGTGCAGCGAGCTAGACCCAAGAGCGATCAGGAGATGATGGGAAGAACAGGTATGGAGAGATCCACTCAAAGCAGATGGCAACAGGCATTACAGGCCTGGCTCTCCTGAAAAGGCCTCCAGTGACCTCTCCCCACATGGCGCTGGGACTGCTGCTTCCATGAGTGACGTGGGGAGCCAAATGTTCTGTTATCTAGTAGTTGGCTTCACAGGAACTGGGGCCCAAGTCAGGCTGAGGCCCAATCCCTTTCCACTCTCCCTGGTCCTGCAGGACACTGACCTTGAATTCCTCATATAGATCGCTGTAAGTAATATACAGAGATGATCTAGGTGCTCATGCATGCATCTCCTTTTTCCTGTTCCACAATCAGGAACTGACCTGAGAGCCTTTTCTACCATGGCTGAAACTCTGGTACTGTACACAAGTGTCTTGGTGTCAGGAACCTGCCTGGGGAGTCTCTCCTTCTTGAGCCTTGCTGAAATACCACGATCACTGTATTTTTCCTATGGTAAAATAAACTCTCTTGAAAAAGGAAAACGAGCACTCACTCACCCAAAACACCAGCACTGGCTTCTTCGTTTTCATTTCTCTTTCATTTCACTCTGCCTCCCCTGCAACAAGAGAGAGCTCATTCGGTATGGAACCACCACGGTGCTGGGGAACAGGATGTTGTGTACATCCCACTCAAGCAACCGAGTGTTTCTGGTTACTATTCCTACTACCTCTGGGGTCAACCAAAACTTCTGAATACAGCAGGGTGAATACATCAACTTCACTCATTCTTCAAAAATTGCACAGATTGTCATTCAGGGGTGTCAGAAAGCAGCTCATATAGAATGCACTGGGTGAAAACTGAAGATAGCTTCCACAGTCTCTTTTCTGAGCCACAGCCATTACCTTGGCATTTATACTCAGAGCTTTCCCCCTCAGTTCTGGACCTGCATGACTATGGAGGGATATCAATGGGTATTTTGGCAGGCCTGCATCCTCCTCCAGAATGGAGTAACAGACCCTTTACTGAGCAGCAACTCATTTGACTCAAAGGGGTACCAGGTATCTCCTCTCTGGTTGTGCTGAGATCCACCACATTGACTTTCTAGGGATGTGGACATTTTCTCTTAAGGATGTGGCAAGTTACGATTTACCAGCCTCTTTCCTCTGTGTGGACGCTGACACAAGAGAATGTATCCTGGTCACACATACCCACACTTCAGTAACCATGACTCAGTATGCTGGTTGAAGAGGGAAGGAGAGAAGTAGAGAAACCCAGTGTCTGACGAGAAGGGACAAGTAAAATAACCTATGCTCTACCCCCTGGCAGAGATGAGGGTACCCTATACTGGGTAGCTATGAGAAAACAAATGGAGAGGATCGAGCAGGCAAGGACATTTACTCGGCACAAATGTGCCAAGGCCAGGATACCTATATGCTGGGAGAGCAGCCAAATGTGAAAGTGTATAAAGTACTATGTAGGACTTGTGGAGTCAGAGAGCAGAATGTAGCATGACCTCTGTGTCTGTTAGATTTCATTTGCATGCAATCCCTGCAGCATACAGGAAGAAAAACTACATGTGGTTCCCATTGCAGGTAGGGAGTTGGAAGGCAGAGAGACAACTTGGGAGCAGTCACCATGCAACGCTAAGGGCTTTTCTTTGATTGGGCAAAACTTCTATCCAACACGGCATCTCCAAGGCAGTTACGGGGAAAAATACAGAGGGAAAATTTATACATATGCATACACATGTATGACACATAAACATATTTATGTGTCTATTATTAAGGAAAAAGTGAATCCTGAATGAATGAGCAGGTGTTCTGAAGGTAGAATATAGAGACACTCCCAAAGACGACTTCCCAGGAGGGGCTGCTAAACAATGGCCCTCACCTAGGTCATCTGACTGTGTGGATGAAGCCACTGGGCTCTTCATCTGTCCTATGGACTTCACCCCTCCCACCCCCAACCCACACAACCCACCTGGGGCATTCAGTGGCAGAGTGACTGAGGCTCCTGGAGATGAGCATGGGCAAACCACCTCCCTGTCTTCTTACCTAACAGGGCCTCTGTCACTTCCTCCATAATGGCCTACTCCTGAGCCCTTAAGCTGGTTGAAGTAGCTGGATGAATGCAGAAAAGAGGTAATAACTCAAAGAAAAGAAAGAAAATCCAGGTCCTGGTGACAGTTACTGCTATGGAATCAATGTCCTCAGAAAGTGAGGATTCTGCCCCAAAAGAACCATATGGGTATCCATACAAAAGTGTGCAGAGAAAACAGGGTCCCAGTTCCCAGGATATCCACATTTAAAACTCTTAGATGTGGTGATGAATCCACAGATGTATGTATTCTTTCGGATGCTGTTATAGGTATAGTCTCACTGCCATTAAGAATCCAAATATAAGAGATACCACTTCCCCCAACACCCCAGTACAGTCAACCCCATTTGGGGACTTAGTTGGCCTTAGAGTCGTCAGGAACCTTTTTTGATCCTTAAAGGGCAGAGGGAGAAACCTCACAAGCACGCATGCATGGCATTTCTGAAGCAACAGTGCCATCAAGCGGATACTTTTTGAGCAAAGCCTGCAGCACCTTCCTGTCTTCTGCTGAGAAGGCCTGTGAAGGGACAAAGGGTGGTACTGGGGCACCCACAAGATTCTGGGCCAGACCCAGAACACCCCCAGAATCAGTGGGGAAACGACACAGGGTGGATAGAGACAGAACTTGACCATCACGCAGCACTGGGCTGCCAGGATACAGGCCTCCCCAGGCTGTGGGGGCGTGGCCTCGGCAGCCGCCATGTTAAGAAACCAGGAGCTGAAGCTCCAACTCCAGGGCATCTGGCCTGTGGATCCTTGCCCTTGGTGCAGGAACAAGCTCAGCCAGTGAGGTCCCTGGGGTCTCAGGGCCACGGGTAACCCAGCACCAGAGGCCACAAGCTCAGCTGCCACCCCTTGGTGGGGTAGCATCTTTCAGACAGGATGGAAAATTTCCTGATTATTTGGTACTAGACCCAGACAAGGAAGAGTAATGCAGGTACACTGCAGGTTTGAGCTAGAACTGTGTTTTGTTTACTTTGGCTCCCTATACAAAGAGAATCTGGGTTTCAGGCCCCAAAGTATCCCAGAAAGCCCTACCTGTCCCATACAACAGAGGCTGTAGAAACAGAATGAAACAGGACAGGATCAGTATACTGAGATGGACATCATCCTCCAGAGTGAAGGGATCCAGGTCTGTTTTCTGCACTACTTGTTGGGAATGTCACAGCTCAGAAGCATCCTATTCCTCAACCTCCCTCCCACTATATGAGTGTATGACATGGGTCCTCGTTTAGGGACTCTCCTGGGATTTCCTGTATGGGGTCCATGTTCTATAGGTGGCCAGAGGAGTATACTGAGACCACCTTGGTCTAGGGAACAATCAGACCATGTCGATCAGGACCTGGCCCTGGGAGCTCAGCAAAAAGTTCAATCCCAAAAGGCTATGCCTACATAAGGCCACAAGTATAAAATGAAGGAGCAGTGGGTTTCCCACACCCTTCCAGGAGGGGTGAAATCAAGGAGTGTGTGTGGAGGAAGAGCTGAGCCTGGAAACCTGCTCCCAGACAGCCTCCTCAGCAGGTAAAAGCTAGGCAAAGAGCATGAGCTACCCCAGAGGTTCTTCCAGAAGCAGGCTATCAGAACAGCTGAAGTCTAAAATGAATTGCTGTGTGCCCAGGAGTATGTGCCTTGTTCCTGTCTTTGAGAGACATGCTTGATCTGTGGTGGATATGGGGGAGGGGGGTATCTCTCAACAGCTGTGAGCTTTAAGCACCATCTTCAGACCTCTTGATTTCCCAGCTGTGGGGGCAGGCATGGGGTTGAGACCTTGGAGATCCAAGAGTGAATGGAAGCCAAGGCCATTCCTTATCATCACTGAAGTGAGTCTCAGGGAGTCTTGGGGAAGGTGACCAAGAACGCCAAAGGCAGCAAATTACTGGCTAGGGAATCTGCAATGCTCTGCTAAGCCACAGATGGGTCTGGAAGTCCTGGATCCTAGAGACACCAGCAAATGACACCACAGTTGGTAAGACTGAACTCAGGCAAAGGGCTCCTTCAGCCTGGCTCCTTTTTCCTGGTGTGGGCTGGTCCCTTCTGGACTCTGCTTGCTTGCTTTCACTGGGCCTCAGACCCTTTAGCACAGGGTAGTCAGGCTCCACATCTCATCTCTGAGCTGGACAGTAGAAGGTCACTGTCCTGTTTCTAGGACTGCCAGTCGCAGCAGCCCTCCAGTGCCCACAGTAGTGTTTGGCTGGGCTTTACTCGGCCCAAGAGAGGCTTTCAGGGCCCTGGTCTGTCCAGGCCAAACCTGCTCTTGCTACAAGGGGAAAGGGCACTTGGCCAAATGCCTACAGCCTTCTGGCTAGGGCTCCTTCCGAGGGCTTCCTCTACTCCTGCCCAGACATATCCACTACTAGGGTGCCAAGCCTTAGTTTCCTGAGCCAGACCCACCAGTCTCCTAGACCATGATCCTTATCACAGTGCCAGTCTCTGGAGCTTCCCCAACCCAATTCAGTCTTGGGTCATGCTTACCACCCCCCCCCTCCCAGCCTAGTGGGTCTCCTGACCTCCTAGGGACACACTGTCCTTATCTAACACTTCACCCTCGTCTCTCCTCCCCCAGGAAGTGATGGTGCAGGGTAGGTGGGATTTGCAAAGTATTTCCTCTTGGTGGCAGTACTGCACCAGAAATGCCAATGTGCCCTTCCACCCCACGTCCTCTCCCTCCACCCTTTCCTAGGGAAAAAAACACCAACCTGTGTGCAGTCTGGCTAGCACAAGGTGGCTCACCATCTTGGCCACTTTAGGCTAAAGGGGCAAACGCCTCAAAATCTGGCGCTCCATCCTGCAAGGCCTGGTCTCTGTAGAATCTTCTTGGACTGCCTTCAGGACACAAAGGCAATGACTCCCCATCTAGGCACCCGAGCAGTGGATCTGAAAGTAACTCTGGCTGTTTCTTTAGCACTCCACATTTGCCAGCCCCTCCAAAAACATCCTGACCATGAGGTCTCATGTAGCTTGATACAAAGACAGTTGGTCTACAGGCACCAGGAGAAGTCAAGTAAGGTAAATCTCTAGTTGCAATACAATAATCCTAATTAACCTGGTTTATGTTACATGACTGTTCATACTTTTCAGATATGGATTATTATATATGGGTCAGAAATGGAACTACATGGTATTCTAAAGACACCTGTCCTTGTATCTGGCCTATATTCATTTTCCCAGTGCTTCCTACGAGAAGATTTTTAATGAAAAACACATAAGATTTCTGTACGCTTGTGAGAATTTGTGCATTTCACTGTGAAGCATTTCATATGAAGGCACAAGCCTTTGGTCCTGTTTCTGAGCAATTGGCACATGCTATATGATGAAGACTACTTGATGTCAGGTACACCTCTAGAATCCACTTTTCAAGACTGTGGCAGATGCAAGGGGGAATAATCTCCAACGTGTACTGAAGGAACACACTGGCCAGGTAAAGTGTCTGAAGACAACATAATCAGAAGGAAATTCATTCTGCTGGTGTGCCCACATCCCAATTCCCCAGCTGCCCGCACATTGTTCTGGCTGGGAATA